GGCCAGGCTGACCAATGGACCCGTGACTAGAGATGTGATGGCATTTGGTCTCTGAACTTCTTCTGTCAGCATCACCCTTTCTGGAAATGCGCCTCAGAGCCCTGCCCATGGTACCTTCATACTCCCATGCCTCTGACTGCCCTGGGATACCTTCCAGGAGACCTCGGAGCACCCAGCCCTCAAGCAAGATCCAGGGACGAGACTGTAAGGACAGGTCTGGAGAATTACTATGCAAGGAGGTGCCTGTGTTAGTGTCTGAACATGGCCAGAGTGAACAAGATGGGCCAGATCCTCAGCTCCGCTTTGGCTACTCTGGCAGTGCAAAGTACACATAAAGGCAGCTAACCCATCCCCTGGTGGGATTCCCCCTGTTTAGCAGTGGGGAGCTGTCATAGCAACTCGTGTGCTGTCATCCTTCATAGTCCCTGCTGCTGGGCAGTGTCCAGGACAAAGGGCCTGTGGGCAGTGTGTCTCTATTGTCCAGTGATCCCCAGGAGCTAGAATAGCCCCCTTGGGAGCTGTGAGCATATCATTAGAACAGTTGGCATAACTTAGAGCTGCCCTTGGGCTGCTCTAACTTGTCAGTCCAAATTGCCACAAGGTGGTTTAAAGTCACCTTCCTCCTTTATTTTATGCCAGACACAGCTTGGCCAGACCAAGCAATCTGGCCTGATGCCTCCAACCTGGACAGTGTCAGAGCCAACCTGACTCATGGTACTGTCTCATTGCCAAGGCCTGGAGTCCAGATGTGCTGGCTGCTGACCGGTGGCATTGGAGATGGCTCCTTTGCTTATGGAAGGGAGGCTAAATACTAAGCAATAGCTTGTGTGGTCATGAGCATGGAGTGTTAGGTTGGGCTGTTGGATGTTTCCGAGCGAGTGGCAGATTTCCCTCTTCAAAGCATCCACATTTTGCATCATAACCTTGCATTAGGCTGTTGTTTGTTCTCTTTCATTTTAAAATGCTATATGGATAGAATGTTTCCGTCTGCTATGCATTCTGTTTACTGTCTCTTCCCGAGCTGCCAATCAGCCCTCCTTATTATGTAGGTGTGATTGATAGGTACATAGGGGTGACATCACATCTATTCATAATGCAGCAGGAATAATGAATGGGATGCAGCGATTTATGAGGGGATGATTTTGCGGAGGATTTCTGGTCACATCATAAACCGGAAGGATATAGCTTATTCTCTGAGACAGAATTAATTCTGTGAAATTTACCGCAGTCCATCGGTTGTTTGGCTTTATAATATAATGGACCGAAGGCTATTTTGAAGATGAGAAACATTTAAAACAACTGAAACATTTATCGGAGCTGATGAAAACAATTTTAATCTTTATTAGATGAGTAACAGGATTTGGGCCACTCTCAACTGTGAGGGGGGAAATTCCCAGAATGCTCATGTAATTGGCATGCCTGAATGAACTTAAAAATTCTCATTCAAATGCCTTTTTCTTGTTGAAAGTGGAATTAGTGGAAGGTGGTGGATTGACATCACTGGGGAGTGAAGGCTTCTATATGGCTACAGAACAGGTACTGAGTGGGTAGCAACAAACACTGCCATGTGAGTCAGCCTGCCAGGGAAGGAAAACCTTTAGGAGTCAGGGGTGGAGAATGTAGAAAAATTTCCAGCGAAACATTTTCACATGGGAAAATAGGCTTTTTATCAAATCAGGAATTTTCTAGGGGAAAAGCTCAATTTCAGTGATATGTTTGGTTGGGAAAATAAAAATGGAAGAATTTGGGTCGATGTTAACCTCCGAACTGTCACGGAGCCTCATGGGGTCTAGGTCTCATGTCCCCATTCTCCCCTATGGGCCCAGCACTCTGGGGCTGGACTACATTCCCACGATGCGGCATAGACCCACCCTGCTAGGCTGTCCATGTACCATGGAACGCCATGGACGTCTGTCCTGGGAGCTGGGCCCATAGAGGAGAAGTGGAGCGTGAGAGTCCTGGAGCTACAGCTCCCATCAGGAGCCACGGTGGCTCAGAACAAGGCGGAGATTAATGTTGACCTGCAATGTTTCATTGCAACATTTACAAACTGAAACTTTGTGGAACTTTTCATTCCTCGAGACGTCTCATTGCTCGGCTTTTCGCCGCACTTGGGGACGAAAAGGAATAGCGACATTTCCCGCAAGAGGGAAGTCCTGCTTTTTGATCCACGCTGCCAACAGAGGAGTAGGACCACGTCCTATTCGCTCCTTGGCCTCACTGTGGGGGGGCTGCCAGTGAGGGGCTTGCTTGGTGCTGATCCCAGAGGTGGTTTTCTGATGCAAGCACCTGCGTTGCAGGGATCAGGCTGAGACCAGTGGTATGTTTCCACAATTCCCAGAGCTGAATAGCTTTGGCTTACTTACCAATCCAGGCTGCTTTCAAAGGGGTGACCTGATCCCATTAGGAAATGTAGCTTTCCTTCCCTGATCTCTTCCTTTTTACTGGTAATATTTCGCTCCCTCTTTGCCCTGGGATAAATTACTGCATGACTTGCAGGCCAGTGACGAACAAGGGGTTGGAATGGGGGCAAGGAAGAGGCGGGGCAGGGTCAGGGTCTCATGGATGGAATGGGGGTGGGGCCGGGGCAGCGGGGGCAGGGTCAGTGGTGCGGCCCTCAGGCCAATTTACTAGTCCTCATGTGGCCCTCGTGGTCATTTGAGTTTAAGACCCCTGATCTAGATGATGGGATGGGTTGCAACCTCAGCAAGTTCGTGGATGACACTAAACTGGGGGGAGAGGTAGATACACTGGAGGGTAGGGATAGGGTCCAGAGTGACCTAAATTAGAGGATTGGGCCAAAAGAAATCTGATGAGCCTCAACAAGGACAAGTACAGAGTCCTGCACCTAGGAGGGAAGAATCCCATTCCCGTCTGTTCGGCACTGGTGAGGCCACATCTGGAGTATTGTATCCAGTTTTGGGCCCCCCACTACAGAAAGGATGTGAAAAAACTGGAAAATGTCCAGTGGAGGGCAACAGAAATGATTAGGGGGCTGGGGCACATGACTTATGAGGAGAGGCTGGGGGAACTGGGATTGTTTAGTCTGCAGAAGAGAGGAATGAGGGGGGATTTGATAGCAGCCTTCAGCTACCTGAAGGGGGGTTCCAAAGAGGATGGAGCTAGGCTGTTCTCAGGGGTGGCAGATGACAGAACAAGGAGCAATGGTCTCAAGCTGCAGTGGGGAAGGTCTAGGTTGGATATAAGGGAAAACTATTTCACTAGGAGGGTGGTGAAGCACTGGAATGGGTTACCTAGGAAGGTGGTGGACTCTCCTTCCTTAGAGGTTTTAAGGCCTGGCTTGACAAAGCCCTGGCTGGGATGATTTAGTTGGGGATTGGTCCTGCTTTGAGCAGGGGTTGGGCTAGATGACCTCCTGAGGTCTCTTCCAATCCTAATTGTCTATGATTCTATAATTCTACTCTTTGAAAAAGCAGCCTATAGAAGCTGGGCTATAGAAGCGTTGTGGTATTATCTGTTAGAAAATACATTCTGACTGATCACTGACCATGCGCCCTTGCGATGATTGAATAGCATGAAGGTTACGAATCATACGCTGGTATCTTGTCCTGCAACCACAGGACTTTCAGGAACTACATCGCCGCGGGAAAGCACATGCTAGCACTAATTTTTTTTCGAGGCTAGCAGGGCAGGGGGGGAAGGACGCTCCTTGCTGGCTCCTGCCCAGGAACCACTGGAGCCCTGGACCATAGAAGCCAGAGGCACCGAGACCCACACGGACGCCCAGCTACCTGTGGTCACCCCAGAGAGGTCTGAGCTACAGGGAGTTGCACCGGCCGAAGAACCCAGAGACCCCGAAGATACACAGATCCCAGGGGGCGACAAGCCATTGTCCCGAGGCCGGTCAGCGTTATGCAAACGGATCCCCGCTGACCCAGTGGTGGACTCACTCACCACTGCAAGGGCCTTGGGCTGGGACCTGGTAGAGCAGGGAGGGCCTGGGTCCCCCTACCTGGCCCCCACCTCCCCGCTCCGGGTGGTGGCCCATATCTCTCCTCCCCCCCCACCTCCACCCCTCCGCCGGCCAAGTGTATGCTTGATTATACAGCCCTGTTCGGAAGGCAACTTTATTGACTCTGACCGCTAGGCCAGACAGCCATGCCCAGAAGGTGACTCTGTTGGCTCTGGCTGCTAGGTCATACAGCTCGTCCGGAGGGTTACTTTATTGACTCCAGCTGCTGGGCCATACAGCCGTGCCCGAAGGGGTATCTCCATCAACTTGGACCGCTAGACCTGGCTTCTGGCGAACCCAGTGGATCATTAATGACTCTGGCCGATAGGCCTTACTGCCCTGTAGACCCAGGGTATCTCTATTGACTTTGGCCATCAGGCCTTACTGCCTTGCAAACCCCGGCGTACCCCTATGGAGTCTGGCCGCTAGACCTTACTGCCCAGCAGAGAAGGGCTACCTGCCGGATGTGGGTCACGTGACCCTATTGCCCTGTGGAGCAAGGTGATTCCATAGCCTCTGGCCAGTGGGCCGTAAAGCCCTGTGGATCAGGGCATCTCTATGGACTCCTGCTCTTAGGTCTCACAGTCTGGAGACCAAGGGCAGCATGAAGGACGAGGTGAACTCACCCCGCACTGGACAGGGTCTCCCCCACCCCATCATAAATGCTCATACAACTTTCGCTTCTTGAATCTCAGTGTCTACTGCCATTACCCAATTATTGTCTGCACTCCCCCCATTGTCTATAATTTCCTGCAGCAGTGAAAATTTCAGTTGATAAAAATAAATTCTTAACCCCCCTAATTTTGCACAACTGTGAAAATTTAGCTAGCTAAAAATAGAAAAAAAAAGCCTAACCGTAAAGATCGATATTATCTGTCAAAATTATTTTAAAAGAAATGAATTCTGCCAAGCCTGTCTATATTTATATGCCTGCAATTTCCCTGTCTCTCCCTTTTTTTAAAAAGCATGTTGATTTTTCTGATAATCCTTTGAATGTTTCCTCTCCTCCCTGCACAAATCTCCACAGCTGTTAGGTCTTCAAATCCTTCATTCATCAAGAGAGGCAGCGACAGAGAGAGGGGACTGAAAGGACTGCCTGGCGAACACAAAAGAGGGAGAAGAGCGAAAGAGAAGACAACAATGTGGTTAATACATAAAACAGAGACATTTCTGGCACTCATCGTATCATTAATCTGTCTAAAGTGGCTTTGATCTCTTCTGCTTTAATCAACTTATAATTATAATGTGATTATATTTTTGCAAGCGGGAGGGAGCTGGGGAGCTGTGGTCTCAAAGCAGCAAGCGCTCGCGTCGCCTGCCTTTCATACCCCCTGTCACTCTGTCACCGGCGCACGTGAGCCTGCGTGTCAAAGATGAGATGAATGGGGAGGGAGGGGGATGTGTGGGAGCAGTTCCCAGTGGCTGCGGGAGGAGGGAGGTATATACCAGCTGCTGCTTCAGTCCTGGGGTTTATGGAGCAGTGCTGGTACATGTCCCCTCTGCTTTGCCTGCTCCCTCCTAGTAACGTTAGAATCCAGCACAAACTCTGCCAGCAGCCAGGAGGTCAGAGCCTCGGTATTACTCGAAGGCCAGGTCTAGGCGGCAAGTCCCCGTGTGGCATGCCAGGGTGCAACTGTAGCATGCTAGCTTGTCGTGCTTCAGCGTCCCATGTGGTCACTGCTACAGCGTAGTGAAAGAGCCGGAGCGCGGCATCGTGCCCACGCTTTCAAGCTGCAGTCCGCCGAACCGCACTCCGAGACTTTCACTGCGTTGCAGCAGGGCCCACCTGGGACATTACTATGCGGCAAGCTGGTGCACTGCAGGTTCACACCCTGGCTTGCCGTGCCATAACTCACCTTGTAAACAAGCCCGATGGTGGGGTTTTTTGGTGGGGAGTGGGGGGTTGTAACTCACCTTATAGACAAGGCCCTTCATTTTCTGGCTTTCCCCTCCAGAGTCTCCCTGCTGGGCCCATGAAGGAAATGTGTGGGATGAAACTATGGGCTGGATTCAGAGGTGGCATGAGCGAGACTCGGTCTGAGACACCCACATCCACTCATCAGTGTGTCATTTAAAGTGGGTCACCCATGTTGTTGACTTAGGCCCATTAGTTAGCAGGTGGTCCTGGGTTCAGTCCCTGTATGGGGCACATATTAGGCACGGCAGCCTGGCTTCGTGGGGATGGTCCTGGACTGGGGATCTATTTGCAACTCTGCTGCTGGGTGACCTTGGACAAGTCACTGCCCTACCTTCTGCCTCAGTTTTTCCCCATCTGTAAAATGGGGATAATGGAACTGACCTTTCAGAGCGCTTTGAGATCCACTGAGGAAAAGGTCTATGAAAGAGCTCAGCGGTTGCAAGCCAGTGTCACTCCCACAGAGGAGCTGGAAGACGGTGCCAGCTACTGCAGGGCATGGCTTACTTTGGTGTGCACATTCCTACCATGGGCGAGCACCCGAGTGTGACGGCATGCACACCATTGCCACAGTCGTGCAATGGGGTTTTATTTGCCTGAACCCTGGTGGCTGCCTGGTGCACAGTGACGTCACAATTCGAGTGTGCCACCATGTCAATGGGAGTTACACACTTAGGATCTGGGCCTTAGGGGCTTTTGAAAATCCCAGTGTTGGGTGTGAACCCCACACCATTGAGCAAAGGGTTAACAGGAGTCTGAGCTCAGTTAGGCCACCTGGCCACATCTGGTGGGTGTGTCAGGCTTGGTTCATCATCAGACCCAGCTGGGAAGAAGCTGGGTCTTCTTCATGAAGGAAGGAAGTGAAAGCTACAGGGGAAGGACCCAGGACAGAGAGGGTTGGTGTCCCCTTGCTCTGGGATTGAAACCCCAAGGAAGCTGTAGGAGCTAGCCCCGATAGTAGGCCTGGGGAACGGAGCATGGCTCCAGGGCAGCAGTCCTGAGGATCGGTGTTCCACACCAGAAGCTGCGGAGAGCCTGGTAGGATTAGGAGCTCAAGCCAGCATAGGTGGAGGTTACTTTAGCTGTCTTTGGTTTGGCTGGGGCGCAGAGGGGTTGAGTTCTGTAAGGGGAAGCGTAGGAGTCTGCTGCTCTCAGAGAAGAGTAGGACTGCCAGTATGGAGGAAGGTGCTGTGTTGATAACTGGAGTTGGGTGGGACACTGTGGGAGACACCAATACCCTGGAAGCAGTGAGACTTTAATGTGACCTGGCTGGAGGGTCAAGTTATGAGAAGAACTAGGTCATGTTAGGGCTGACGCAACTGTTGGTGGGGGTGCCAGGTGTGGAAAGCCTACCCAGCCATGAGGAGGCATGTTGGCCGGTGAGTCACACTTCTGCACCCAGCCATAAAAATGGATATTCCTGTTCGCTGAGCTGAAATGAAACGAGAGAGGAAGTTCTCGGCAGGTAGAATGTAATTACCCAGGTAGGAATTTGGCTTGATGAGTAAGTGCCATGGGGTCTGTAATGCCCACAAGCAGTCAAGCCCTTGGTGATAGCCCAGCTAAAGGATGGCAGCTCCCACAGCACAGTGCCCCCTAATGCCACACCTAAGAGAGGCAACTTCAGAGTGACTTCCAAAAAGACTGGGTGATCAAATATTCTCCCTACCTCTTGGGCATTTAAACCTGCACTTCCCCCTGAATGAGGAGTCCTGAGATGAGGATTACCCAGCCCCCTTGGTCAGCATCTTCAAACGTGACTAGCCAGTCTGGGTGCCCAGCTCAGGTGCCTTAAAAGAACCTGATTTGCAGAAAATGCCTAGCCCCCACCCTCCGCAAATCAGGTCCTTTAGGAGGTGCTTCAGCCTGGCCCATAAAATCTCTGGTCACTTTTGAAAATGTAAGCCTGTATGTCTATATCTGGCCTTCCCCACAACTGTCTCCCTTTCAGACCTGCCTCAATGTTAAGACCCACTGCCATGCACTTAAAGGGGCAAAGGCTTGTATAGCCCATGTCTGATAGCCTGGCAATCTGATTTCTTGTACATTCCATGGTACCATTGATTTAAGCTTGTTCTTCTTCCCCCTGGACACAGGACAGCTGGACACAGCTGGCTTGTTAGCCCAAGGGGAGATCTTTGCTTTTGCCCAAGCTTTGAGTTTCCAGTTACTGTGAAAAGGTAAAGTATGAGTGGCATTAACCGGGCAACTCTCTCTCGCTTCCCTGGGGAGGGTGGCAGAAAGCAGTAACGTCATGCTAGATGGGACATAATAAGAAGTGTCCCCATGCAAACAGGTTCCCTTTATAAAGGACGAATGGACATGGCTTGGCTGTGGATGCCACACCAGCAGTGCTTGGCTTTTTTTTTTCTTTTCTGAGCGACTCGCGATGTTTTGAAGTGCCAAATGAAAAAAAAACCCCTTTGGCAGATACCTCCAGATCACGTCTCTGGGCGGGGAAGGCAGGAATGCAATATCCTGCTTAACTGTATCTTAAGACAGCAGATAGGAGTGTTTTTTAAATGATATACATTCGTCCTAAATTGCTTTTGAATGGCTGCCTAGCGATGGAGTTGGAGAGCGCTGATCCATTACGGGGCAAATCGCTTTCCTCTCAATCTAGCGAAACAAAGGGAAATGCGCCCGTGTTCTGACAATACCACTCCGCTGCCACTCTTCCCTTCAGCTGCTTCCTGGCCGGAACTTCTTTCAGAACTCACCCGATATCCTCCAGCCTCGCACTTAACAATCCCCCCTTCATTAGCTCCTGAAGTGCCGCTTTGAGCAGCTTCGCTGGTAGGAAACGGCACTCAAAGAGCGTAATTCTCCTGAGCAGGCTTCTTTAGATGGGGAACAACAGGCCATTACCTCTAAGGTGTTCAGGCAGACTGAGCTTCTCTTCCCTTCACAGCCATAATGGGACTGGAGTGTAGAAAATAGTTCCTCGCCCGCCCGGCTTTGCTACATGGGCTCTGCGCCCCTTTGAATGCCGACAGCTCTGCGTTCTCCTCCAAAAGCTGGATTTTGGGGATTCATCGGGATCCTTCCCGTTCCATGGAGTTCTTCCAGACGGGCACCATTCTGCGGGGATGGTGGTATATAGGTTAAGTGGGCTCTTGAAAGACTGGGATGATTTAATTGGGGATGGGTCCTGCTTTTGAGCAGGGGGTTGGACTAGATGACCTCCTGAGGTCCCTTCCAACGCTGATATTCTATGATTCTATTCCTCTACACGTAATGTCAGTGCTCGTGCATCTATAGAGGCTACACACGGCCATCTTGATGCACCTCAGGTCTGATCTATAGCACTTCCTGCTATTCCAGCCTGGCTCCCCCAGCGGCTCTGCTGATGCCCCTCACACCTGCCCAGCAGCACTGTCCCAGGCAGGTGGACTAACTTTGCCAGGTGCCCACCATGTTATTGAACAAAGGGAGCCTGAAAGGGGCTGTTTTTTTATCGGCATGCAGCTGGCGATCACTTAACACTTGCAAGCGGCAGTAGGTATTTACACCCCTGTTCTGTGTAAGGATTTCACAGGAGGTAACCAGACAGCTGCCTCTGGAATTGATACATCAGCATGAGTTATGGAACTCCATCACCTGCGGCAGCTTGATGATATGTTAGACAATGGGTATGTTCACCCCCGGCTATCAGAGGCGTGAATTACACTGGAAAATTGACAGGTTTCAGAGGAACAGCCGTGTTAGTCTGTATTCGCAAAAAGAAAAGGAGTACTTGTGGCACCTTAGAGACTAACCAATTTATTTGAGCATGAGCTTTCGTGAGCTACAGCTCACTTCATCAGATGTTTACCGTGGAAACTGCAGCAGACTTTATATACACACAGAAATCATGAAACAATACCTCCTCCCACCCCACTGTCCTGCTGGTAATAGCTTATCTAAAGTGATCAACAGGTGGGCCATTTCCAGCACAAATCCAGGTTTTCTCACCCTCCACCCCCCCACACAAATTCACTCTCCTGCTGGTGCTAGCCCATCCAAAGTGACAACTCTTTACATAATCAAGTCGGGCTATTTCCTGCATAGATCAAGGTTTTCTCACATCCCCCCCACCCCCATACACACACAAACTCACTCTCCTGCTGGTAATAGCTCATCTAAACTGACCACTCTCCAGGTTTAAATCCAAGTTAAACCAGAACATCTGGGGGGGGGGGTAGGAAAAAACAAG